GTAGTATATGGTGATGGTCAGGCATAGTGTATTTTGGCAGAAGATAGATAAGGAAAGAACAGGAACGAAGTGCAATCGGTATAAAAATGCATGTACAATAATAATCGAAGACTATGGACTGATATATGAAGAAGGAACAGTCGAAATTTAGACAATTGATTGCTATTTTGCAAATTAACTGTTTACTGTATGGTTATCAGATTTAGTGAGATATTCTGTAATTTGTGCTTAAATACATTCGATTGTCCCCACCCGTGTTCTGTTCACTACACAAGTACTAGTGAGCTGTTAATCATTAAAGCTAATGAGTTACAATGAACAACATCTTACTAGATGGGTATAATGATATTGATTATTGGTAACAGATTACAAATTGTCCATTGTAAATATTTAGATAGAGTAATAGACGATTTCTGATGATTGAATGCTTCAATACTGTTTCTAATTAAAAGCTGATAATATTGTGGAGTATAAATAGCCAATGTATACAAACTTTTAGAAATAATAATTATAGATAAAAAATTACAGAAATAACATTAAAGTCAGCAAGGAAATCTTTCAAATTTAAGGTGATCAACTTTTAATATATTCAGTTTCCATGAACGATTAATCGATTTTGTAAAATAACACTATTTTAGTTACATTAATAATCAGTAGACACAAGTAAAATTTCAGTGGTTGTGGAGAGACTATGAATAATGGATGAACTGATCAGACTAAAGATAACAAATTTTGGATTTTGGCATGAAATTTATTTATCCATATCAGCTAAATAGCATTTTGGCATTATAGTTGGCGTCAGTTCGTAATGAAAAACTTAACTGTAATTCCCAACTCCTAATCGCGATTTTGATTTCTCATACTTATTTATAACCCTCTTTAGACCCCAGTAGGTTGGCGAATTTTCTCAAGGTCACTTTGGCGTCGTTCGAAAGTCGTCTATAAATGATAGTCCCATCACATTTGTCTTTTTCACATCGATTTCCATTTTCAGGAAACAGAAGTCGTCGACGAATGCTTCTGTCCAAAATAAAGTGAATAAGACTATATTAATTGTTTTAAAATGTTGTCATATATTGGAAGTTACGTTTTCATCGTAAGTATAGAAAGATCAAATCAAGACAGAAGCGCATTTACAAGACACGCGGTCTTTTTTAAGGGAGAGGGAGGACTTAGGCACGGATCAGAGTAGAATTTCAGTTAAAAGCGTTAAACATGAAATTACTGTTGGATTATCAGGAAAATTAACCTTCAAATCAATGAAGTTTCATAAGCTTCAAATGACTTCAGGTAAAGAAAGAGAGTTATTCTACAGTGTGACATGGTGTATTAGACCAAGGTTCGTGTATTTGGATATATGAAGGTATGTTAGCTAGCTGGTTAAAACACTTGAATTTTGACCATTGGGTTGCGCGTTCAAAATACATCTTAAATATATTAGTTTGAACATTCAAGTTACTTACTTAGTTTATAAACCCACAGTAGGAATTATTGCTGAGTGAATCTATCTGTACTCGTGTAGTGAACGAGAACACAGGATGGGTCAACCAAATGTAATTCAACAGGAAATTATAGACTCTCTTAGTAGAATCTAAGAACCATAGAGTAAATTATTCATCTGCAAAATGTTAATCAATTGTCTCAAACTTGATCGTTCCTTCTATTCCATACCAAACACTCTCTGTTCTAGTTTTCTTCCATCTTCTTAACCATCTGCCACCAGGTATTTCACTTTCGATTGATGATACATACTACTTATATCTATCGACATCAGTAGCACACACCACACTCGATAAATAAGCTATTGTTATGACGTATATCTAATATGTACTATAATATCTCTTAAAGAAATTTAACATTCAAGATAGTCAATTGACGCATTTCAGTTTTTCCTAGGATAGTGAGATCTCATTGAAATATTCATATTCGATTTAATGGATTATAATATTCAGTATAAGCAAAAATATAACTGTTTTTGCTAACTAAATAACTAACAATCGGGATTTATGGAGACTGTAGTGATTTTAACACTTAAATTCTGACTTAGACCACTATTGAATACTTGGAAGCACTGGACGGCTGTTTCGTCCCAATATGGGACACTTCAGAACCGGGGCCGTGAATGAGCACTGCTGAAGTTTTCAATGGTGGTCTAGCTTAGATCGACTCATGAATTTAACAGTTAAAAACTTAGTGACTGATCGTTTAGGCAATACTTTTTATGCAGAATAATATTTTATTGTATATTTTAGAAGATTGAGTGGAGATCGTTTGATACTGTACATTAACTGAAGTTATAAAACTTCGAACTAGCTGACATTCGATTCAAAGGTCTATTGATATCGTGTTAGTCACATCAATGAGTATAAATTAGGTTGATCACTAAGTAATAGCCAATGTCATGGTTGTCTGGCCTTTAAATACTGATCGAATTCTGTTGAACAGGTTGCAGCATGGTCACTTATCTAGGTGAATTGATAATGCATGCACTATGTTGACATTTTAGGTTGCTCGAGGCAGTCAGCAATGAACTTTACTGGACAATGGTTTCATGTTGATAAGGACTCCTCAACTGCAAATATCTTTCTCGCAGGAGGTCAGTCACAATCCGAATGGTTTAATGGTAACGTCTCAGGCTGACAATGATTGATGTAGTTTACAGGCCTATAACAAGGATCAGTTCCTTCAAGATTATAGGTACTTGCATGTGACAATTATTAGGTAGCATGAAACGTAGATCGAGTATGGTATCTTGGTGACTGCGCCTCAACTATTAAACACTGACAATTATTTGTAGACTAGGGTGGATACATGTTTGACACCTTGGATGCAAAATAGTTTGCTAAAGTAAAAACCATTTGAATAAATCACCTATCGCTTGTTGATACTCAAAGTTAACTACAATATGTTCACCAATTTTAATGAAATTACGGACAAGTTTCAGTAAACAACTAGAAAGTAGCAACCTAAGGATATGTCACTAACTATCAAAACAATTCAAAAATGTATCAAACAGTATACATATCATGTTACATATGTAACATTCTACTGTAGAAATTTGAAAATGAATAGCTTAAATTATAATATTTCACAGGTAGGTTAATTTAAAATAAATATTTTGAAAAAAATAAACGACAACACATGCTTGAACACCCATTATGCATAATTTTTCACCAATTTTAATCATTCGATTAAAGTTGGTGAAAAATTTGTAACTAATCCAATTAGTTCCCTTTTTTGGCATTGACCATGTATACTAAATTTTACAATACATATTTAGTATTTGCATAACAGATATTGAGTAAAACAAAATTTACTTTCCTATTTTAATGCAATGAAAATAAAGTTTTTATAACCAAATAAACATTATGTAACAAGTTTTTTAGTTCATTCAAATACGATATGTATCGTATAAACTGAATGAAATAGTTTATTTTTTGTTTGTAAATTAAATATGTTGATTTAACCAAAATGTTTTCGCATATAATGTTTGTTTTTAGGTAAATGTATTTTGGAAAATTCAACTTGATATTTGTACAGTTGTGTATATCAGTAGTATTGAAAAATAAACCTTGAATATAGGTCTTAATGTGGTATAGGTTACTTATATCCACACAAGTAGTATATAGTGAGGGTCAGACATAGAATGCATTTTGGCAGAAGATCGATAAGGAAAGAACAAGAATGAAGCACATCCAATATGAAAATGCATCAACAATGAGATCAGAGAAGATGGACTGATATTTACAGAAGGGACAATCAAGATTGAGACAATTGATTGCTATTTTGCAAATTAACTGTTTACTGTATGGTTATCAGATTTTAGTGAGATAGTTTGTAATTTTTGTTTAAATACATTCGATTGTCCCGACCCGTGTTCTTGTCCACTGTATTAATGCCAAGGTTGGAATTGATAATTTCAGATAAATTGAGCATTGAGTAGAAAGTTATTAATAAATATTTTTTTGTTATATCCCAATGAGTAGAAAAATTGTATTTCTGAAGTTTCGTGACTTAATGTAAGCCACTTCTTTAGAGTGAATAAATAATCGAAATAAACTTTTGTTAATTTAATGTCAGTTATTGATTTACTCTGAAGAAATTGCTTACATTAAGTCACGAAACGTCAGAAATGCAATTTTTCTACTCATAGGGATATGACAAAAAAGTTACTTATTAAAACTTGAATAATTAGGTACCAAACAATTTTATTTCAGTTTGTTGATTTAATTAGTAAACATGCAGTGAAATAATATCAATATGCAGAGTTTATCTCATAAGTATAACACTAATCATTCTCATTGTGAAATTACATAAGCTTAAACACAATGATCTCTTGTTTGTAGAAAGGTAACAGCTGATTGTTCAATTCTGTTTGTTTAAACTAACATTATTAAATGATAGATATCTAAATACACAGTAGTGTGTTTGAACTAAATATCTGAATTGGTTTTAGATTCAAATAATTCTACTTAACTATTAAGTCTATTTCCATTTAGTAATTCAATACAATTTACCAGTTATCGGTTGAAATAATAAGATTTTAAGCAGCAAAAATAAATCCATCGAATAAATGACATATTGGAAAAGAGACAACAATTCAGTTTGATCCACAGCCCGAATTATAATGTAATTGACATTAAGAACTGAATTTAGATCAGTCTTGAATGACATATATATATCGTATGAATATTATGTAAATATAGATACTTTGTCACAAGTTTTATAAAAAAAAAGATCGCTTTTAGCCAACAGTGCAATCTAGAGTTAAGTGTCTCATTACGTTCGCGACTCACCTGAGAAAATTACTGGGTTCAAGCTTTCATATGAATATCAACACGGATGAATACTTATCTATCTGACTAGTCTCAAATAAAACGAAACAAGCGCACTTAATTTGACTGAGAGCCACAATCTATCGATCCTATTGTAGTCATATTACCATATATAAGAGTGAATATGGAAGAAAAACAATTAAATTCAAACGAAACAAAACTTACTAAACGTTGTAACCAAAAGAATGTGAACGTGCAAGCTAGAATAATTAATATTGCAGATAAGAAGAAAATGACAGCGGAAATAATGATTGACCTTTGCGATTTAACTGTACCTAAAACGGAAAACATCGACAAGGAGAAGATAAAAAAATGATTTTATCATAGAAACAAAGTTGAATAATTTTGTAATGGAGAAATATACTTTAAGAAAATCAAAAACTAAGAGTTCACAACAAATGAATGCACTAGTATAAATATTTTGTTTTATGAAATCACTTAATCTTCGAGATATCAATATTATGTATCAGATCTTATCTAATGATATAAGTACATGCATTTGTAAAGTCCTTGATCAAGACAAAACTAGTTGGTCAATGCACTCTCGTATCTAATTGGTGTTAAGTTCATGACAAAAACTATTATTTTTATATCCTTATTGTCTGTCAATTATCACGTTATACGATCGCCGGTTATAACACCAACATATTGACCAGACCAGTGACGCATAAAACTGTGCGAACAGCCTAGAGTCAGTTTGAGTTCTTATTCAATCTCTGAGACAGTATATTCTTGCCTAACCCAGCCAGTTTAGTGCAAAACACCAATATCAGCCTCCGTTATAGGAAACATATTTCAAGCATACGAAGTTTATATACAAGCAAATCACCGCGCGTCATACCATAAAATAGAAAATAATTATGCAAGATCAAGCCAAAAGTGGCTGTGAGTTTAAGAGACTGTAACCAATAAATTCGAAATAAATTAATAATGGTAAATCATCTAATGGTAATCAGTAGGCCAAATGGAAGATTATAATGAAAGGAATATGAACAGATAAACAACTGACAATATTCATATATATTTATATTTATACAATAAGAATATATATTATAACAGCCCATGAATAGATCTTAGAGGTTACTATTTACCTATTCTTCGTTCGAATATAAAAATTACCCAAGGAATATACGTTCAAGGATCATTGACAAACAAATTTGAAATGAATACACTACTTTAGTAATTTAAATGAATCAATGATTAATTTGTAAATAATAAATGATTTAACGCGGAATTCAAAGACTTTAGTTAAATTAATGAGAAAAGTAAAAACCCTAATGAGAATGAATCCTTTTCAATAGTGTATTCATGTTATAGTTCTCTGCTAAATAATCTATCGAATAATTCATATTAGTTTAGTAAATTCATTTTTAAAACTGAACTACAATAAAATAGTTTGCCAAGATTCTCCACCCAGCTAAGATAGGCAGGTAACAAGAAAAGCTGCATGACTTTATGAATTCTTACAAACTGTCTATCTGAATGCCGTATTGTTATTTAAAATTTTCAACCCAATGGTGTATACATGCCTATCTATTAATATGCATATATAAACATCGTAATGTTTCAGTAAAACTATCACAATGGAACTAACTAATCATTCAGTAGTAACCGATTTTATATTTTCGAGATTTTACTGTTGATGATGTTTTAAAATGTGCTTTAGTCGGAACAAGTAAACGACGTAATTGGACACTGTGCTTTAATGTCAGATGGTAGAGAACTCAAAATTTATATTTCGATTTTTATGTTACTTATCAAAAAATATTCCTCTTTGGTCCTGCAGACCAATGTTCTCCAGAGATAAGATTTGCAGCGAGTTACACAGCAAAGAGCTATGTGGATGGTTACTGAATTACCGTAGGATGTAAATCTATGTGCTGTCTTAACTGAGGATAAACACTTGCTTACTGATCTCAGATAGAATGGAATCTGGATTCCAAGATTCCTTTTAACTTATTCCAAACAAGTAGCAACAGCATCATTGATACTATTTCAATAAAGTAAGTGGAACGTTGTCCCATCACAGTAGACTCCAATTTAAATAAAGTCAGAACAAATATTGCAGATATTGCAAATATTGCAAATACTGCAGATACATGGATGACACCTTTCTTGTTTGCGACAATCACAAACACTCCATCAATCTGCTCAGTTTGTTTAATAAAGCACACAAGGATATAGAATTTACGATGGAACATGAAGACGAAGATAAATTCCATTTCCTAGATATTGGATTTAGACGAACACCAGTGGGTACTTCACAAAAGTATGCTCATCACAAAAACAATTGGAGTGGACTGTATCTCAATTACTACAGTTTCTGTCCAATGAGTTACAAAACAGGTATTGTACGAACCCTTTTCGACCGCGCACGCAAAATCTGCTCTAATGAGTGTCTTGAGGAAGAAATTACTTTAATCACCAAATGCCTACGTGAAAATGCATATCCAGAGAAATTCATCCACAAATATACAAACATCAACCGTCGAATAATGCATGATCGAGTTGAAAGGAAAACATGCTTCCTATACTTACTCTTTAAAGGAGACGAAATCGCTGGAATAATTAATCACAGACTTAATTCCGCGTTGAAAGCGACCTACCCAGCAGCTGAACTGACAACGGTGTGGGAAACAAACTGCTCACTCAAACAAACTAAAATCGACAATTCCTCTTTTCTCAGTAGCTCCAACTGCATTTACCAATTTACATGTACGTGCCAAAGCACATACATTGGAAGAACAGAGAGAAGAGTGCATGTCCGCATTTCTGAGCATGTTCCTAAGAAACTGAGGCTGCAAGGGTCCAGGGCTCTCAACAGTGCGATAGCTTGGCATTTACTCGACACCGGGCACAGCATTGACATTTCCCATGCCTTTAAAATCATTAGTAAACAAAGAAGTACAACTGCTCTCCGGTTTGCTGAAGCGATCGCGATAAAAAAACTCAAACCGGATCTGTGCACTCAAAAAGAGACAATGATAAACTTAATATTACCCTGGTAATTCTTTTTTTAAAAATCCAATTATTACGTAACCCACCCTAATTGTTTTAATTACTCCTAAAATAATCACACTTTTGATCTCATCTGTCTTTGAATTCTACTCAACTATTACACCACCCTTCATTCTAATACCTAATAACCTCTGACCTTTCCTTGCACATATATATATATAGTTATCATTGATGATTTTTTGTTATTCCAATCCTTTACATTCACTTATGCCAGCCGTTCCATCCTATTTATTACCCTAATGCTAAAACTCTAATGCATATTTGGTTGTAAGCAGCTGATGAGAAACCACGAAATATAATGAATTCATATTATTCTGCATCAATATTTGTTCTTTCTTATTCAAATTCATAAAAGGGAACTAACTGAATGAGACCCCAATTTACCTAACATTCATCATTTTACTGTTTGAAGCATGCCTTGACATGTTTTAACAATTTGTGTGCTGACCGGTAAAAATATCCTTCAAAAAGTATAACAATATTAACTAGGTTGTACACAAATGTAGTCATTCATTTGAATGAATCTTTCCACAAAATACATTGACGCACATAATTATACATAGTTACATTTTCATAAACTATTATCGTACTTTCTTCCAAGCTAGATTGGGTTTAAGGAAAAAATATAAGATAAGCAATAAATAAAAACATATTTGCAAATATCTATTAATATGCAAAACAAATCCCTGAATATAATGACTCAGTTGTATTATTGATTCATACTTCAAACAAATGTATCAGGAAAACAAATTTATAGTTAAGCAGAAAATTGGTTCAGACTAGCTGTATGTGACAGATATGTATGGGATAAAATGTTTCAACTAGAGAATGGAAACCAGAAAGAAAATAAATTATAAATAATGTTTCAAAGTTGAAATCATGAGTCAATCGAAGCTAGACCACCATCGAAGACCTGGAATCACTGGACGGCCGTTTCGTCCTATTATGGGACTCCTCAGCAGTGCGCATCCACGATCCCGTACTCGCGAGATTCGAACCCAGGACCTACCAGTCTCGAGCCGGAGCCCTTAACCGATAGACCGTTGAGCCGGCATCCAACGGTGTTAATGTCTAACTTCAACTTCGTGGGTTAGTCATTATTTCATCCTTAGAATCTAGAAGTTAAATTTCTACTGACCAGAGTGGATACTTTTTTTCAAAAATTTGTTTGACAAAAAAGCTTCAATAAATAAAGAAATCATCAATTTAAATTTTTAAAAAAATTTCACGATTTTAATGAAATTAATAACTAACTAACTTACTTAAGGTTAATGATTTCGTAATAATATTCACTAGTGAAATTATTGCACCACATGCATTCTGTATTTCCGAAACGATGAGAAGAAAGATAAAAAAAAAAGAAATAATAAATTAGGGTAAGAAAAATGTGGAAACATATTAATATAAGTAGTCAGGGATTTTAAATAAAAATGTCACTTCTAATATTAAAAAGAGATGTAAACAACGTTAACATTGTAAACATTTTTTATTAAATAGGATAGTCTGATAAGTGGTAGTTACATATAACTTTTATTCAAATCTAGAGTAATTAACAAATTGTCATATTCATCATATCAAATAATAACATCATTACTAAAATGACTTAAATAGTTCAATATGTTTGGTCGTTCAGCTTTCATCATTCTTCTGAACAACATCATAATTACAAACCATCCAGCTTACAAAATAAAACTCAACCTAAATCATCCATCTGAGCTACAAATCTCCTCCATTGTCATCTCGAAAGTTCAACTAAGAAAAACAAGATTCGAAGAATAACATAAATTCATTATAAATGAAGGCTTTTTATCAGTCATAAAAGGCCTAAATTTACATTAGTAACATCACGATAAATCAATAAAAGTTAAATAGTTTGAAGATTACTGTTGGAGTATTTAATTAGGTTGAAATCGTGCCATTTGTCGATGCGAAATGTTATTCAAAAACGGAATTGGAACATTTGGCGTAAGGCGCCCAGTTATAATCAATTGAATAAATTAATCATGTGAATAAAACGGATAGTAGAAAAAGTCCGATTTTGGACTGATTGAGATGACAATAATAATAATGAAGTCATGTAAATATAACATGTAACTAGAGGAATGATGTCAAGCTAATTGTGATAAGTTTTTGATGTTGGTTTGTTCTCTGAGCTGGGTGGTTTGGTCGTGGAGCTTTCATCGTCCTTCTGAACGACATCATCAGCACAAACTTCTGGTAGAAGTGAAGTGTTTGAATTTCTCCACATGTGATTCACAGCTTGTCCTCTGCACCTCGATGTTGATTGGTTCTTATTGACCTTAAATCTGTCATTGTTTATTTCTTTGTTTTGGTTGTATCTCCCATTGGTTTGATTTTTGTTCCTATCTTCCTGCATAATTTTCTTGATTGGTTGATAGATTGGATTGATTTCAATATGTTTGTTTATTGCTGATTGACCTGAGTGTCAAGCTTCTAAAAATTCTCTGGTATTTTTGGAATTGCCTCTGTCCAAAATCTGCACGTTTTCCCAGTCGAATGTATGTCCGTAGTTGTCCACATGTATTGATATGAGTGAAGAAATGTCGTGACGTTTGACTGCTAATTGGTGTTCATGTAGGCGAAGGTGCAGGGGGCGTCCGCTTTGTCCAATATAGTGTTTGTTGCACCACCATCTTAATTGTGATAAGTGTTAGCATGTTAATATAAACTGGGCAAAATGAGAATGCAAATTAAGGATGGGGCTGACACATGAAAATGGATTGAATTTGTTTTTGTAATATGACTGTTATTTAAAGTCAAAAGGAAATTAATATGAGCGATAATATCGAAAATAATGATAAGCTAAGAGTTAGAAACAATATTTGGCGCTTGAAACGATCAGCAATGACTAAGTATGAACACTAATACTCGAATACAGATAAATCCAGCTAACGAGCTCCAAATAAAAAGGAATGTACGTAATAAATGCCACTGCTAGCTGTAATCCAAATTTATCAAATAACAGCAACTCAATAACAATACGGAGGAAATCCTCTCAAGAAAAATAGAAAATGATATTCCCTAAAATACCTGTATTGTTGAAGTTACAATCCCTAAACGATGCTATCAGAGAGTTATTAATGCGAGTAAAAAAACTTTACAAAGAACATTCACTATGGCAAAAATGTATGCTATATTTTATACGAATATTCGTCAAGATTACAACGAATAGCTTGGGCGCCGAATACAGAGAAGTCATTATATGTGAAAATTAAATTTGAAATATTCTCATTGATTAAAATCTCAATAATTCATACGTTTCGTCCAGCTAACTTGTCTAAACGTCTTCAGGGTAATAATCAAAATCAAAATCATCGAAGAAATATATAATGGTTTTTACAATCATATCAAAATCTATACTATGTTAAACTAATCATAATTGCATGTGGAATTTTTGTAAACAGGATAATATGAGTCAGTTAAATGAGAATCAAGTGAAAAGTTCACGACGTGAAATAAAAGAAAAGAAGGCTGAATGGATTGTGTGTGTATCTATGTGTAGGAATGAGTTATTAATAAATGATTTTCGTTGTTAGTATGTTTTTATATGAAGAAGAAAATAAAAGTGCAAATTGAAGATTGAAAAATTGTTTCTGAATCATTGAATTGGGAGAAACATTCAGACAATCGAATGTAAGGTTGAAAGAACACAGTGTTTGAAAAATGTTTTGAAAACCTCGGTTGACATATGGAAACTTGAGAATAAGTCTGTGATAGCGTTACATGCGTTGGAAACAGGACACAGGATTAATTTTGAAGGGGCCAAAAAACTTCAGAAAGGTTTCAACACTCACAAAGAAAGATTGACAGCAGAAGTGCAGTATATATGGGCGAATAAGAACAGCCTAAACAGAAAGGATGGTATTCAGCTAGCAACTAATTGGCAGATATTCATCAACAAGTAATTGGACCCTTTCATTCTTTATTCAATCTGTTTATTTCACATGAATTGTTGTTTTGACTGAAATTCGATATGAGTTATGTTTAGCATTACAATTATGTTTTTTATGATTCTCATTTTTTACTAGCGATTCTATGATTCAGAAACAATTTTTTCAACCTTCAATTTGCACTTTTATTTTCTCCTTCATATAAAAACATACTAACAAAGAATATCATTTAATAATAACTCATTCCAAAGTTGAAACCATGAGTCAATTGAAGCTAGACCACCATCGAAAACCTGGAAGCACTGGACGACCGTTTCGTTCTATTATGGGACTCCTCAGCAGTGCGCATCCACGAACCCGCTCTCGCGAGCGAGATTCGAACCCAGGACCTACCAGCTACGAGCCAGAGCCCTTAACCGATAACTCATTCCTCCACATATATACAAACAAACCATTCAGTCTTTTATTTCACATCGTGAACTTGTTATATGATTCGCATTTGTAAATGACTCATATTATCCTATTTACTTGAGTCAACAACTAAATATGATTGAATTAACACAGTATAGATTTTGATATGATTGTTAAGAAAGCACTATATATTTCTTTGATGATTTTGATCATTACCCTGAAGACGTCCAGACAAGTTAGCTGGACGAAACGTTGGAATTATTTAAATTTCAATCGCTGAGATTATTTCAAATATAGTTTCCACATATAATGAATGTATGCTATATTTTACAAACAATCGAGTATTAAAACCGGAAATTAGGAAAAAATTCCGCAATTTGCTCTGCTCATGTGCATTTACTATTTCAACTGCTCTTGTGAAGCCAGTAAAATCAAGTGCACGGTTAGGCAAGTTCATCAACATATTTCCAAGCATCTTCCTGTCTGGATAAGGAATGAGTAAGGTCAATGAAAATCTCTATACTAGCTCATTTAATTGATACAGGGAACAAAATATATATAAGAAAAGAACTTCAAATTATCCATAGGTCCTCACCAAATATACCACATGGTTTACCTATACTTCTTTTACATTTAGATAAAGTTATCGGTGTCTATTTCATAAAATCTAGTCTTTTTGTCCATTTAGCAGTAAACATTCAGCAACCAAACTATTTACATCTGAAGAGAAACTTGACAATAAGCTACATTTCCTCAATGTTTTACCAAACAGAAAAGTGAATCTATCAGTAAAAATGTGTAAAGGAGAAGTTCTTCAGCAAGCCATTACACATATTTCTTGAACATTGTACTCATTCGTTATAAGAAAAACATAGTAAAGTGTTTTGCAAATAAAGCTAGCAAGAAATGTTCAGATGACACTATAAACAAAGAACTAGAACTTATTCCTAATATGCTGATTAAAATGGGTTATCCACAAGGTTTTCTGAAGAAACATTTGATTCGTTTAATAATTTCATATATGAACATAACTATTATTATACATTATAGGCTGATAATGATCAAATTGAAAACAATATTGTTCTCTTATATATGTTGTTCTCATTCACAATATGGGAATTTTTTTTTAAAATGTACCAAATTTTTTTAATCAATTCTATTATTATTAGTCCTTAAACAATGTATCCCAGCTGTTTTATTTATTAATTAATGCCTTTGAATGTTCATTACTTTATCTAACTCATTTTTTAATTGTTAACCATCCTCAATTATTATCTTTATATAAGAACTTTCGTCTAAATTCGAACGAATAGTTTCAAAGTATTTGGGCGCCAAGTTGATGTGAGACAGTAAATTGGGAGAATATATTTGTAAAATTTCAGTGAATGAATTTGAAGAAAATCCGACGTTTTGCTTGGCAATTTGGTTCAAGCTTTTTATATTTCCTTGAAAAAGCTTGGACCAGATTACCAGGTGAAACATTGGATTTACTTCAGATTCATTCGCTGAAATTTTACAAATATATTCTTTCTATTTAATTCTTTTCAAAATGTTTAGATGAAAATTTTCTCCCTTCATTTATAACAAGTTTGAGGGAGTAGATGAAAAAAAATTATAAACAATCAAATCATATGGAATAACTGAGATATTCCAAGTTTAGAAGATAAGGAAATTAATTTTCCATCTTTAATGTGCTAATTGTGTGAATCCTCGTATTTTCACGGACTAGTTTAAGTTACTGCACATGTACAATAGAATATAACTTCCAGATCTGTCTTATCGATAATCCTAAGAATGTTAAAAACTCTCTGACAAGAAGAATCTAAAACCATAATTAAAAATAATCACAACTTGAGCTATCTATGATATCTGACCACAGTTGTTACTACTAATATTAAACTATTATTCGAATTGTAGTTTATCATCCATTTGGCAAATCACTTTAATCGTTTATTTAAAATCTTCAGTTACTTTGATGTATTATATTATTTACCCGTTTGACTAAACTTTAAATACATATACATATGTAAAACCTTTAATAATGATTAAAATTAATTGACTTCAATGTTTCATTCAGCAATCTGCTTTGAATAAATCATTCTTTAGTCAATAAAGAATATAAGATACAATTAGACGACCATAACACCTAATCAACTAGGTATAGCAGCTCAGATACGAGTTTGTTTACACTTAATCTGGCTAAGCCCTTTTGTTAACTTACTTAATGGACAGTCATTCATACAATAACAACCTATCTATACCATTGTACTTTTATTATATACGCTTGAACATTGCTTACTGTCTACGCATGTATTCATTCCGCTAGCATTATTATTAATCGCTTAATTAATCCGATGACTCATACTTTTCCATTTATATATATATGTACATCTTAATCCTGTTTACTGCTTGCTCTTTGCACCGTATTGTACACGTTTACTCACTCATTCGGCTTTCACGCTCGCTCGCCTATTTTACGGCACTGCTCTTTTATGCTTGCTTAACGTGCCTGTAATATTGAATACCTGTTTGTGGTTCAATAATAAACTCGATCAGCCCTTCGTATTCGCCTTCTGATTTATACACCGTTAGGACGTTATCGAGTAGCCCTTATTAAGACGAATAATATACGAAGTTAAGGATAATATCGAATATCGACCACCACATAGGTATATATTATAGGTATATTATATTCTTTTATATTTTCAATGACGTATGCTGTTAAATATTCCGAATGTATTTGAATAAATGTATTCTAATAGCTTTTTTTCGTCTACACAACCTTCATAATAGAAGATCATATAACTAATCATTTTACAACAAAGTGAACAGGATGAAACCTTTAAAAATTTTACCACAAGGAAATTTATTTCCGTAAGAAAAATTAATTTTTAGCACAAACGACTTTTAATTGAAGAACCAGTAGGAATCAGGGAATCCTGTGAAATCAGTTGAGTTGTTGTTTTGGTCTCTGCATCAGAATGCATCGACAACCTCAACCGGTGACTGGAGGTTATAGAAGACATGAATTAGAGTTGGTCTAATTGGCGCAGAGATTATTATTTCATATCTTACCCTGGATCTTGAATTCCAGTATTCCGTTATATATACTTTTTCATCTTATGTTTATATTGTTGTGATAACTTGATACGGAAACCAGGCCGAACGCACATATGTGGTAGTGCGTCCATACATGAATTTTCAGCTTGATGAAAATCATTACAGATTCCAACAGATCATATTTACGTTAAAAAATGTATGTTATAGTTAAGAAATAATTGTTTAAAAGTGTTAGACAATAAATAACCAATCCTGTGAATATCTTTATACAAATGGACAAACATACAGTGAAAAAGAATTGAAAACTAAACGAGGACTTACGGATCCTACTATCACTGCGTTTGAATACTTCATGGGTAGCGATGCAGCTATACCGAATGTTAAAGTTTGGTGGATTCCAACACAACCTAGTTTAAAATGAAAACGATGACAAAATCATTGAGATATGTGTTGGTGATTCTACTTTTGAAGATGATTTTCATCGTAAACTGACATCAGGCAATGAAATATTTAACTTTAGTCTATTTGTAATATCGTACAATCTTTATTCAGTGTTGTTTATCAATTACTGTCTCATTTGTAAATTGATTAACTCTACAGATCGCTCCACTTTTTTATCGATAGAACTTTCAACAACCAATATTGAAATTACATGCCAACGAAAGGATATGATATTTATTTAGATATTTCTTGGTGGAATTTTTTTATTTTTAAGATGCTTTTCATTGACTAATTTTACTGTACGTTGCAGCTATCTTATTCGCATTTATAGAGATATTGAACATGGTCATCTATAATGAAATTATGAAACTCAATGAGTAGAAAGCAAACAAATAAATCATGGGCTAAATGGTTGAAGTAGATATTAATTTAATGTGCGATTAAATCATGCACTTTAAAAAATTTCAAACCGGAAGCTTATGAAATGGATGATAATTTTCGAATGTTACATTTTATTTAGTAATTAAAACATGAAATATTTTCTTCTGTGTTTGTAAGTGAACAGCTTCATAAAGTATAGAATATTTATTTACTAGTCTATTTTACAGAGAACATACAATTTTCAATCAGATAAACATAATCACACTTCGTCACTGAGTTGAACGATTAATTTACTTGTAAATTAGGCTAACAGCTTAAATAAACGGTAGTTGTAAGTGGTCAGTAGGAATACATAATCGACCTAGGTTTCGGGCTAATTGGTACTTATCAGCAAGGTGCAAGTGCATTCTTGGGGAGAAATGAAACTCTTTATAGGATTAAAACCCGCGCCTCCAAGCTTCACAGTGAAACGCCGAGCTATTCGGAAAATGTTTGAGCTGGAATATGACTGAGATATTTACATTAACTGATCAATGAGTTGCCAATAACGTAATGTTTGTAGAATCTTTAGTACTGGTCGAATGCTATCAACGACATAAATGAGTGGCGGCAACGAAATATGAGCGATAGAATCTTGTCACCACTAAGCACTGGAAAAATATGACATTAATCACTAATTAGTTATCAATCAATATGAAATAGGCTTCAGTTAATTACAAATAACGATGAATGGATTGAATTCCTATTTTCATAATTGCCTATTCAACAGTATTCGACTAAGACAATATGATTTTAATGATCTAATCAAGGATATTAAGCGGATGTCCGTCGAACTTTATAAACCAATATATCAATCAGTTAACATTTGAAAACTTTTCTTAATTCTGCAGAGATGGATAGTGGCTAGCATTGGAATCCATGACGCGTGTTTAGTACTATTTTGGGTCTCGTCAGCTGGATGTACATGCATTCAAGAATTGATGCTCACCCCAGGACTCAAACCCGATACCGTTCGCTTCGAATGCCGTTGCATTATCCACTTAGCTACTGAGTCCAGAAAGGCACTAGCTTGGGTAATGAGATGAAGTTTAATTCATTTTTTGTATTGGTTGTTTGAATCTCTGCTTATAATGCCTGTGACTTAAGGCAATATCAAAGCAACCCGCACAGGATGAACATATGCCAATAAGAGACTGATCGATTGCAGTCTTAAACATCAACGGGAAGACTCAAACAACCGATACAAAAATAAATTATTCTTCTTAATTCTATTTCCAGGAAAAGCGTTTGTATCACTTAACTAGATAAAGGAGAATCAGACAGCAGAAATTTGATGCAGAGACCAAAAACCAACCATTGTGAAAATATGATATGCTGCTAAATTGATTATAAATGAGAAGACTAAATCCATAATTCCACATAGGCTTCAATACCAAATAAAGGATTACATTACATCCCACTATATTTACTAGTTTACATGTCCATGCGGACACAAATAATCGAACGATGTAGTCAAGGTTGACAGGATATCTGCCTAAATGTCTTCATAATCAATTAGTGTCAAGTGATTTGGTAAATGCAGAAATTAGAAAACCATGACCCACGATAACAACAATACATAGGATCGGGTTTAAAACAACTTTGCAAGTTTTGCATGGAGATAGCCGAGGGTGAATCTTTGGTCATTATGAAACTCAACCCTCCTTTACGAGGACAGAAACGATATGTCTCAACCGAGAATCTGTCCTGATAATCTTCAATAAACTTTAAAGCCTATGTTGGTGTGATAACTTCTTTCCACGAATATTTTCCTATCTTTTATTTCCAAATATCGCTTTGTATTTACTCGACCTTCAATTCGTTTTTATGCATAAATCCCTAGATAAGTACATGTATCCCAGTCTTATGGAGTAAATACATCACAGTAATCAGACAAACTTTGTTTTTTTCGCGAAACTATCGAAATCCATAAATGAGTAAGTGTTTTGATGAAATGGGATGAAAAATGTGGCATCTATCTCCAGTTCGTGTTTTTTGTGTTTGAATTTAGAGGAAGTATAGGGGAGACCTTGAACTACTTTTTAGCCAACCAGAAAAGTATGTGGCTTGAAAATTTATTATGAAAAACTTAAAAAAATTACAATGAATAAAGTTCTAACATGAATAATGAACCTTTATTTACGAAAGGTTTGGATTTTTATCACGAACCGACAATAGTTATGACTCAAGAACCCTTTAAAGCCAAATGGATGAATGAATTTCACATTGGAATCTGATAGGTTCATTCATATACTGCACTTTGCCGTGAATTTAGTTCAGTCTGGCTTTTATTTAGGTCAATATTATCTGTATTGATACAGTGGGAACTTCATTCAGCATGTGTCTTTACAATAACTCCATCCCCCCTGTCTGTGATAAAATTGAATAACAAACGTGCGTGGAAAAAATAATGTAAGTGTATTTTTTCTACGGATTATGTGTTTTGGAGGGTCAATAAAATCGTCATATAAACCGGATTTACGTATTTTTATTATCCGTCGTGAAAATTACAGTGTATCCGAGTTACAAGTATTAGCAGTAGGACAGCGGTATCAATCGTATTAAATAACACAAATATTAAACATCACTTCAATTCGTGAGTTTACTAAGTTATGGTACAAAGTATCGCACATATTCCGGTAATTAGAAATCTTAAAATTCAATAACGTTGATTCATATATACGAAACTATATCACTCATTTTCAATTAAGTTAAACAGTGGATCCTAGATGGTAATGTTATCATATACTATAAAGAATTGGATTTTTGTTCATTAAATAATTCAGTGAACTGTTGATCTCTTTAGTATGACAAGGAAAGGAAAACAAACTACTTTCTGGCGTTCAATTTGTTTTCAAAACCAATAAATTATCATATCACATTGTCTAAAAAGTGCCCTATCTCATCAAGTGGACAATTTAGTGATATGGTGTTGTCCACTCAAAAATCATATGTTTTGATAGCAAACAGAGATGAAATGATCTAAAAGTATTTTATTGCACAATTAATTGGTTATAGAGTAGCGATCAACGTGATGTTTGAGTTGTCCTTTAGTGTTGGTCGAATTCTATCAATCTGAAGTGTAGCCACTGGTTTAGGTAACTCAACACTGCAAGTACCTCTGGTTGACGAGTGCCCAATTAGCACAAAACCTAACACAGCTTTCTGTGAACTACTTCTAACTATGGAACAGTAATTTGTCATATATCAAACGAGAGAAACAAACCATATCATTCGCAAAAATTAAAAGGAAAACTACTCGTCAATAATTGATTACAAATAATATTTCGGAAAGAAATTTCCACTTTTAAAACGAAGCACAAATCATATGTAAGAACCAATTTATCGTGTTGGTAATGATACAACGCATGAAAGGGTCAAAGGAAATGGAAACATTAATTGTAACATCTTTACAAACTTTAAAAAAATACACTACGACATATAAACGAGGAGAAATATAGATAAAATTATTAAAATGGGAATAATAGGATATAAATAGTTAATTAAGAAAAGTATTATTTTTTAATGATTCAAAGTATAAAAAAATTGGGAATGTATCTTTGCTATTGAGATTGATTTGAAATAATCAACGTGAAATTCCCTGATCGATAACAACTGAAAGATCAGACTGATTTGGGAAATATGAATAGAGTTTATTCATAACAACAAATTTCATTCTTTATGAATCCTGCTTGCTTATTATAAAAATTATTACAGTAGCAACTAACCGCCCCCAAATGCCCTGGTACGGCCGAGAGTGGGGAGAGTACGCTCTCCCTCTCGAAATGCTCTCACATGGCCAGCGAATATATAGCCTCTGCCGGGGAAGTCCTACTCACTGCCTTCTCTCACCGGGGTGTTGTTCACGAAAGTGAGAGGGCGAAAAGCGAATGTCCGACGCTTTAACCGGGTTGGTGGACACGGAGGGTCCACCTAGGGGAGTTGGAAAACCCTGATTCCAAACCAATGGTGCACTTGGTATCCTGAAGGAACAAATGGCGTATGAATCAATCGTTGGTCACCGGCTACCATGGGACTGCATCTCCTCAGGATGCTCCACTGCCTTGTGGACTAGACCTTCAGGTCAAAGGCTCCGGGTGTGGCCCCCTAAGAAAACCACCTGCTTCAGTCTGAGCACCTGGGCAGTGTCACAGCCCTCACACAAATCCAATGATATTTGTGAGGCGCATATGTATCTGGTGCTTCCTTGTACCAATATTTATGTGTTTAAATGAAAAAATAAATAAAAAATAACAACTAAACAACAATGGAATAATTTTTTTCAATAGTTGAAATCATGAGTCGATTGGAACTAGACCACCATGGAAAACCTGGAAGCACTGGAAGGCCATTTCGTCCTACTGTGAGACTCCTCAGCAGTGACTGACACCATGAGGTATTTTCTAGAGTTCTAGTAAGAAGCAGTGACCAGTGGAGTTCAACCGTGTCTGTTGTGAGATAGTAACTCACTGAAGACAATGGTGGATGTGTCGCTCAAGTTCGTGGATTGTTTGAAGTTAAACATTAACACCGTTGGATGCCGTCT